CTTTCTACCTCTGTATGTTAGAAGTGATCAAGGTCCCAGGACCGAAACGTTTTCTAATAAATATGTTATAGTGTTTGCTTACGTGTCTTTCTAAACCAACTTGTCGGTATTTATTACCAAGGTTTATACCATCATTCCTTATATATACTCTGAAATCAACTCATTCAAATATACAGTGCCCACAAAAACACTCCCTGATGTCAAACAGGAAAAACATGTAACTTTATTGTAATAATCTTTCAGAGTTAGTAGCTTCAGATGCAGGATATCATTCAGTTTCATGTGGTATAGGGTAGCATTTGAGGCACTCAATGTTCGCCCCTCTGGTTGCTCGGCAAACATCGATATGATAGTCCAGTTCGGCCCAGACTCTCTGTAGCATATTTGGTGTTTATCATACCAACTGCTGCAGTGATCGAAATTTTCAGCTCCTCTAGGGTTGCAAACTATACACGTCAGAGACACTGGTCAGTAGTTTAGTGCCTCTTTTTTGCCTCCTTTCTTAAAAATGGGGACTACATTTGCCGTCTTCCATACCTCAGGCAGTTGCCCAGTTTCAAGGGAATTGTTGAAGATTTTGGTTAGTGGCACGTACAGTCTCTCTGCTCCTGCGTGCCACTAACCACAATCTTCAATATAACCATTGAAACTGGGCAACTACCTGAGGCATGGAAGAAGGCAAATGTAGTTCCCATTTTTAATAAAGGAGACAGAAATGAAGCACTAAACTACAGACCAGTGTCTCTGACGTGTATAGAATGCAAAGTCATGGAGAAGATTATCAGGAGAGTGGTGGAGCATCTGGAACGGAACAAGGTCATCAACGACAACCAGCGTGTGTGTGTGTGTGTGTACTCACCTAGTTGTACTCACCCAGTTGAGGCTGCAGGGGTCGAGTCAAAGCTTCTGGCCCTGCCTCTTCACTGGTTGCTACTAGGTCACTCTCCCTGAACCGTGAGCTTTATCATACCTCTGCTTAAATATATGTATGGAGCCTGCCTCCACTACATCGCTTCCCAAACTATTCCACTTCCTGACTAATCTGTGGCTGAAGAAATACTTCCTAACATCCCTGTGATTCATCTGTGTCTTCATCTTTCAACTTTGTCCCCTTGTTGCTGTGTCCCATCTCTGGAACATCCTGTCTTTGTCTGCCTTGTCAATTCCTCTCAGTATTTCGTATGTCGTTATCATGTTCCCCCTATCTCTCCTGTCTTTCAGTGTCGTCAGGTTGATTTCCCTTACCCTTTCCTCGTAGGACATACCTCTTAGCTCTGGGACTAGTCCTGTTGCAAGCCTTTGCACTTTCTCTAGTTTCTTTACGTGCTTGACTAGGTGTGGGTTCCAGACTGGTGCCACATACTCCAATATGGGCCTAACGTACACGGTGTACAGGGTCCTGAACGATTCCTTATTAAGATGTCGGAATGCTGCTCTGAGGTTTGCTAGGCACCCATATGCTGCAGCAGTTATTTGGTTGAAGTGCGCTTCAGGAGATGTGCCTGGTGTTATACTCACCCCAAGATTTTTTTCCATGAGTGAGGTTCGTAGTCTCTGGCTCCCATAGACTGTATTCCGTCTGCGGTCTTCTTTGCCCTTCCCCATCTTAATGACTTTGCAATTGGTGGGGTTGAACTCCAGGAGCCAATTGCTGGACCAGATCTGCAGTCTGTCCAGATCCCTTTGTAGTTCTGCCTGGTCTTCGATAGAATGAATTCTTCTCATCAACTTCACGTCATCTGCAAACAGGGACACTTCGGAGTCTATTCCTTCCGTCATGTCGTTCACAAATACCAGAAACAGCACTGGTCCTAGGACTGACCCCTGTGGGACCCCGCTGGTCACAGGTGCCCACTCTGACACCTCGCCATGTACCTTGACTCGCTTGTGTCTTCCTGACAAGTATTCCCTGATCCGTTGTAGTGCCTTCCTTGTTATCCCTGCTTGGTCCTCCAGTTTTTGCACTAATCTCTTGTTTGCAACTGTGTCAAACGCCTTCTTGCAGTCTAAGAAAATGCAATCCACCCACCCCTCTCTCTCTTGTCTTACTGCTGTCACCATGTCATAGAACTCCAGTAGGTTTGGGACACAGGATTTCCCGTCCCTGAAACCATGTTGGCTGCTGTTGATGAGATCATTCCTGTCTAGGTGTTCCACCACTTTTCTCCAGATAATTTTCTCTATGACTTTGCATACTATACTTGTCAGTGGCACTGGTCTTTAGTTTAGTGCTTCATGTCTGTCTCCTTTTTTAAAGATTGGGACTACATTTGCTGTCTTCCATGCCTCAGGCAATCTCCCGTTGTGATAGATGTATTGAATATTGTTGTTAGTGGTACACATAGCACCTCTGCTCCCTCTCTCAGGACCCATGGAGAGATGTTATCCGGCCCCATTGCCTTTGAGGTATCTAGCTCACTCAGAAGCCTCTTCACTTCTTCCTCGGTTGTGTGTACTGTATCCAGCACTTGGTGGTGTACCCCACCTGTCTCCTCTGTGAACAATTCTTTGAATCTCTTTTTGAGGTCCTAATATACTTCACGGTCATTTCTTGTTGTCTCTCCTTCCTTCTTTAGCCTGATTACCTGGTCCTTGACTGTTGTTTTCCTCCTGATGTGGTTGAATATCAGCTTCGGGTCAGATTTGGCTTTCCCTGCTATGTGGTTTTCAAATCGTCGTTGGGCCTCCCTTCTTATCTGTGCATATTCATTTCTGGCTCTACGACTGCTCTCCTTATTCTACTGGGTTCTTTGCCTGCCATATTTCTTCCATTCCCTAGCACACTTGGTTTTTGCCTCCCTGCACCTCTGGGTGAACCCTGGGCTCATCCTGGCTTTTTCATTGTTCCTGTTACCCTTGGGTGCAAACCTCTCCTAAGCCTCCTTGCACATGGTTGTTACATATTCCATCATCTCATTAACTGGCTTCCCTGCCAGTTCTCTGTCCCACTGAACACCGTTCAAGAAGTTCCTCATTCCCATGTAATCCCGTTTCTTGTAGTTTGGCTTCATTCGTCCTGGCCTTCCTGCTTCCCCCTTCACTTGTAGCTCTACTGTGTATTCGAAGCTTAAAACCACATGATCGCTGGCTCCAAGGGGTCTTTCATATATGATGTCCTCAATATCTGCACTACTCAAGATGAATACTAGGTCCAGTCTTGCTGGTTCATCCTCTCCTCCTGCTGTTCTGAGGTTTGCTAGGCGCCCATATGCTGCAGCAGTTATTTGGTTGATGTGTGCTTCAGAAGATGTGCCTGGTGTTATACTCACCCCAAGATCTTTTTCTTTGAGCGAGGTTTGTAGTCTCTGGCCCCCCCTAGACTGTACTCCGTCTGCGGTCTTCTTTACCCTTCCCCACTCTTCATGACTTTGCACTTGGTGGGGTTGAACTCCAGTAGCCAATTGCTGGACCAGGTCTGCAGCCTGTCCAGATCCCTTTGTAGTTCTGCCTGGTCTTCGATCGAATGAATTCTCATCATCTTCACGTCATCTGCAAACAGGGACACTTCTGATTCTATTCCTTCCGTCATGTCGTTCACAAATACCAGAAACAGCACTGGTCCTAGGACTGACCTCTGTGGGACCCCGCTGGTCACAGGTGCCCACTCTGACACCTCGCCATGTACCATGACTCGCTGGTGTCTTCCTGACAAGTATTCCCTGATCCATTGTAGTGCCTTCCTTGTTATCCCTGCTTGGTCCTCCAGTTTTTGCACTAATCTCTTGTGAGGAACTGTGTCAAACGCCTTCTTGCAGTCCAAGAAAATGCAATGTGTACTCACCTATTTGTACTCACCTATTTGTGGTTGCAGGGGTCGAGTCACAGCTCCTGGCCCCGCCTCTTCGCTGATTGCTACTAGGTCCACTCTCTCCCTGCCCCATGAGCTCTATCATACCTCGCCTTAAAACTATGTATGGTTCCCGCCTCCACTACGTCACTTTCTAGGCTATTCCACGGCCTGACTACTCTATGACTGAAGAAATACTTCCTAACATTCTTTTGATTCATCTGAGTCTTCAACTTCCAATTGTGACCTCTTGTGTCTGTGTCCCTTCTCTGAAACATCCCGTCTTTGTCCACCTTGTCTATTCCGCGAAGTATTTTATATGTCGTTATCATGTCTCCCCTGACCCTCCTGTCCTCCAGTTTCGTCAGGCCGATTTCCCTCAACCTTTCTTCGTAGAACAATCCCCGTAGCTCTGGGACTAGTCTTGTTGCAAACCTTTTTTGTGTGTGAATGTGTGTGTGTATGTGTGTGTGTGTGTACTCACCTAATTGTGGTTGCAGGGGTCGAGACTCAGCTCCTGTGTGTGTGTGTGTGTGTGTTGTGTGTGTGTGTGTGTGTGTGTGTGTGTGTGTGTGTGTGTGTGTGGAATGTGTGTGTGTGTGTGAATGAGTGTGTGTGAATGTGTGTGTGTGTGTGAATGAGTGTGTGTGAGTGTGTGTGTGTGTGTGTGTGTGTGTGTGTGTGTGTGTGTGTGTGTGTGTGTGTGTGTGTGTGTGTGTGTGTGTGTGTGTGTGTGTGTGTGTGTGTGTGTGTATGTGTGTAACTTCAAATACCATCTTGTCACTCACAATCTGATCACTAATGTCTTAAGAGCCATCTAAGTAGAAATCTTTACCTAACATATAAAAGAAAAGAATAAATATTAGTGGACCCAGGCTGGCTGGTAGTGAATTGCTTCATGTCCTTCAGCTGAACCTTCATTAACGGAATTATTGATGTTCTCGGAATTCTTGTAAAACTCGCCTGGACAGCCATGTGTCAGGGGAGAGGATATGACGCGCTGGTAACACTTGCTAGCTGCAGCATATCAATAATAAGATGATTTTTGAATTTTCAAAATTTAGCGTCTGTGACAGCCAAGGATAAAAGGACATCAGATTCAAGTAACTGCGTCCTTAAGAACTAACTTTTTTTTAGGGGGGAAGGGGAGGGAGGAGGGGGAATGTGAGTATATAAACGTACCCTTGCCATCCTCTTGTCAAAATTTGTGTATCAGCGAAGGAAGTCTCACATCTGTTGGTAAGTGTTGTTCTGAGATGTTGTTGTTATCTGAAGGAATTTTTTTGTGAGCTGCGTCTATTTTTTTATCACTTATCTGAGTGAGTGACTGGATACAATGTTGCTGTTATCCTGGACTAATTAAATTTATTCAGGTATACACAAATACAGTTACATAGATTACCATATATAGCAGCATATGTGTAGAGAACCCAGCATAACCCAGCATAACACAGCATAACCCAGCATAACCCAGCATAACCCAGCATAACCCAGCATAACCCAGGATAACCCAGCATAACCCAGCATAACCCAGCATAACCCAGCATAACCCAGCATAACCCAAAAAGTCAGACAAAGTTACTTACTTCTATTTGGGTCCTTGTATTAAATATTATTTTTGTTTAAGAGTTAAAAACAGGTAAACATCTTAACTATGCAAAATGAGTTACGATAAAAGAAGATAAGCCAAGGGAGAGGTAAAATTAGTTATTTTCATTGACATTAAAGATAGGATCAGATTATAGTTTCTATATGTTAGTTATACAAGAAATCACTCACGAGGTACATTTTGACTGTTTTCTTGAACTGGCTCATCCTATGACAGACTGACATGTACTGGCAATCTATTCCACTCTTTTATTGCTGAACAGAAAATTGTATTTGAAGCCTGACTACTGACTCAAGGTACTGTAAAGTTGTTCTCTCTTCCCCTAATTCTATAATTGCTTTGGTTCTCGACCTTAACAACGCTGGTTATGAACAATTTTATAAACGATATTTGGCTTTAGTTATTTTACACTGTCTTCAACATTCAGCATAACTAGTTGTTGTAACTCACTCTGACCTGCATGTGCTCTTGGTCCCAGGTCCAGTTGTTGTAACTCACTCTGACCTGCATGTTCCTTGGTCCCAGGTCCAGTTGTTGTAACTCACCCTGACCTACATGTGCTCTTGGTCCCAGGTCCAGTTGTTGTAACTCACTCTGACCTGCATGTTCTCTTGGTCCCAGGTCCAGTTGTTGTAACTCACTCTGACCTGCATGTTCTTTGGTCCCAGGTCCAGTTGTTGTAACTCACTCTGACCTACATGTTCCTTGGTCCCAGGTCCAGTTGTTGTAACTCACTCTGACCTGCATGTGCTCTTGGTCCCAGGTCCAGTTGTTGTAACTCACTCTGACCTGCATGTTCTCTTGGTCCCAGGTCCAGTTGTTGTAACTCACTCTGACCTACATGTGCTCTTGGTCCCAGGTCCAGTTGTTGTAACTCACTCTGACCTGCATGTTCTCTTGGTCCCAGGTCCAGTTGTTGTAACTCACTCTGACCTGCATGTGCTCTTGGTCCCAGGTCCAGTTGTTGTAACTCACTCTGACCTACATGTTCCTTGGTCCCAGGTCCAGTTGTTGTAACTCACTCTGACCTGCATGTGCTCTTGGTCCCAGGTCCAGTTGTTGTAACTCACTCTGACCTACATGTTCCTTGGTCCCAGGTCCAGTTGTTGTAGTTCACTCTGACCTATATGTGCTCTTGGTCCCAGGTCCAGTTGTTGTAATTCACTCTGACCTACATGTTCCTTGGTCCCAGGTCCAGTTGTTGTAGTTCACTCTGACCTACATGTGCTCTGGTCCCAGGTCCAGTTGTTGTAGCTCACTCTGACCTACATGTTCCTTGGTCCCAGGTCCAGTTGTTGCAACTCACTCTGACCTACATGTTCCTTGGTCCCAGGTCCAGTTGTTGTAGTTCACTCTGACCTACATGTGCTCTGGTCCCAGGTCCAGTTGTTGTAGCTCACTCTGACCTACATGTTCCTTGGTCCCAGGTCCAGTTGTTGTAGCTCACTCTGACCTACATGTTCCTTGGTCCCAGGTCCAGTTGTTGCAACTCACTGTGACCTACATGTTCCTTGGTCCCAGGTCCAGTTGTTGTAGTTCACTCTGACCTACATGTGCTCTGGTCCCAGGTCCAGTTGTTGTAGCTCACTCTGACCTACATGTTCCTTGGTCCCAGGTCCAGTTGTTGTAGCTCACTCTGACCTACATGTTCCTTGGTCCCAGGTTCAGTTGTTGTAACTCACTCTGACCTACATGTTCCTTGGTCCCAGGTCCAGTTGTTGTAGCTCACTCTGACCTACATGTTCCTTGGTCCCAGGTCCAGTTGTTGTAACTCACTCTGACCTGCATGTGCTCTGGTCCCAGGTTCAGTTGTTGTAACTCACTCTGACCTACATGTTCCTTGGTCCCAGGTCCAGTTGTTGTAGCTCACTCTGACCTACATGTTCCTTGGTCCCAGGACCAGTTGTTGTAACTCACTCTGACCTACATGTTCCTTGGTCCCAGGTCCAGTTGTTGTAACTCACTCTGACCTGCATGTTCCTTGGTCCCAGGTCCAGTTGTTGTAACTCACTCTGACCTGCATGTGCTTTTGGTCCCAGGTCCAGTTGTTGTAACTCACTCTGACCTACATGTTCCTTGGTCCCAGGTCCAGTTGTTGTAGTTCACTCTGACCTACATGTTCCTTGGTCCCAGGTCCAGTTGTTGTAATTCACTCTGACCTATATGTGCTCTTGGTCCCAGGTCCAGTTGTTGTAGCTCACTCTGTCCTACATGTTCCTTGGTCCCAGGTCCAGTTGTTGTAACTAACTCTGACCTGCATGTGCTCTGGTCCCAGGTTCAGTTGTTGTAACTCACTCTGACCTACATGTTCCTTGGTCCCAGGTCCAGTTGTTGTAGCTCACTCTGACCTACATGTTCCTTGGTCCCAGGTCCAGTTGTTGTAACTCACTCTGACCTACATGTTCCTTGGTCCCAGGACCAGTTGTTGTAACTCACTCTGACCTACATGTTCCTTGGTCCCAGGTCCAGTTGTTGTAATTCACTCTGACCTACATGTTCCTTGGTCCCAGGTCCAGTTGTTGTAACTCACTCTGACCTGCATGTTCCTTGGTCCCAGGTCCAGTTGTTGTAGCTCACTCTGACCTACATGTGCTCTGGACCCAGGTCCAGTTGTTGTAGCTCACTCTGACCTGCATGTGCTCTGGTCCCAGGTTCAGTTGTTGTAGCTCACTCTGACCTACATGTTCCTTGGTCCCAGGTCCAGTTGTAATTCACTCAGACCTACATGTGCTCTTGGTCCCAGGTCCAGTTGTTGTAACTCACTCTGACCTACATGTTCCTTGGTCCCAGGTCCAGTTGTTGTAATTCACTCTGACCTACATGTGCTCTTGGTCCCAGGTCCAGTTGTTGTAATTCACTCTGACCTGCATGTGCTCTTGGTCCCAGGTCCAGTTGTTGTAATTCACTCTGACCTACATGTGCTCTTGGACTCGGGTCCAGTTGTTGTAATTCACTCTGACCTGCATGTGCTCTTGGACTCAGGTCCAGTTGTTGTAATTCACTCTTACCTACATGTGCTCTTGGACTCAGGTCCAGTTGTTGTAATTCACTCTGTGAATTGTTGTTGTAATTCACTCTTGGACTCAGGTCCAGTTGTTGTAATTCACTCTTACCTACATGTGCTCTTGGACTCAGGTCCAGTTGTTGTAATTCACTCTGACCTACATGTGCTCTTGGACTCAGGTCCAGTTGTTGTAATTCACTCTTACCTACATGTGCTCTTGGACTCAGGTCCAGTTGTTGTAATTCACTCTGACCTACATGTGCTCTTGGACTCAGGTCCAGTTGTTGTAATTCACTCTTACCTACATGTGCTCCTGGACTCAAGTGTGCAATGAATCTCACCATTTCTTCTGGCTGATGTGTAGCCAATCTTTCATTTATTTTTTGGTAAGGCAGAGTACCAAGAAAAGTAAGTGTAGTCTAAATTGTATTGTATGAGTTAGACATAGTATCCTGCGAGCCACAGTTAGTAGACACTTGTCTGTCCGTAGAGGAGCTTTAGTCTGGCAATCGCTTTCTTTACTGCACTGTTCCTCATCAGTTCAACTAACATGCTTACTTCAAAGGGGATTCCCAGATATTTCACTGAATTTACTGTAATAATTGATTCCCCATTGCACTGGACATTAAAATTATTTACCCTTTACAATTTATATTTCGTCCCAAAGAGTACGACTTCTGTCTTCCAGAGGTGTAGTGATAATTTGTAGTCTGCCAAACGTTTGCTCATGACTCTAGTTCTAGTGATAGTACCCTAGCGATGTCTTGTAGGTCTTTACCTGATACTGAGAACTATCATCTACACTTATAGGCATGTCATGCACTGCACTGATAGGCATGTCATGCACTGCACTGATAAGCATGTCATGCACTGCACTGATAAGCATGTCATTCACCTAACACTTGAATAGTAAAGGACCCAGGATACTATCTTGAGGAACCCCACATGTCATCAGCATGGGTTTTGATTCTGTGTTGCTGATCTTGACAGTTTGTTTCCTGTTACTCAGGTAGGATTTTAAACCAGTCTACAGTACCCATGCCGACAGCTTGTAGTTTCTTACTTAATATATTGAGGCTGACCTTATCGGACGTCTTTTGCAAGTCTAAGGTTACTCTACCTAAGAAGTTTCCTAGCGACTTTTGAGTTCTCAAATAGTCCATCAAATTAATGAGGAAAGTGTCGCTTGAATGAGATCTCCTTAAACTTGATTGGTAACTATGGAGAATGCTTTTGTCATTAAGATACTTAACTACTTGACAGTACACCGCCTTCTCTAGAATTTTGGACATCACACTGAGTATACTAACAGGCCTATAGTTGCTGACATCAGACCTAGTATTTTCCTTGAAGACAAGAGTTACTCTGGCCTTCTTGAATCCCCCGGGACAGTATTTGTGTCTATAGACAAATTTGTTATGTGTGGAATGGGAATTGGTAATTTAGACGCCATCCTTTAGGAACTTGAGCGTTATGTTATCGGGGCCGGTGTTCTTAGTTGAGTTTAATTTATTTAGTTCTTTCCGTACTAAGTCATAAGACTCTCCGACTAATGGGCAACTGATCGGAGTGACGCCTTTATTAGTTTAATATGTTTTAAATTTATCTGAGTCTGTGTTAAAGGTA